CCAGCTCTGTGGGAAAGCTGCAGGAACTCAGCAACAGAAATAAAAGCAGAAAAATCGTTAAAACATTCAGCAAAATTTATTTAATTATTTTTCACAATAGAAAAATACGTTGCTTTCATATGTGAGGTCTGTAAAACTCCAAGGCAGGAGGCAGCCTCTGGCAGCGGCTCCCCGGGGGCTTGTCCCTTGCCCAGCCGCAGCCCCCACCCTGAACCCCCCGAGAGGATTTTCTTCACCGCAAAGCAACATCTTGCAGGCGAGACAGAGCTGACCCTGCCTGCGATGTGCATCCCCAGGGGTCAGCCCCGTTCATTGAGCTGGGAAGGGCAGCACACTGCAGGGTTTGAAGAATAACTTTGAACAAAAACGAGCCCCCCGAATGGGTTCTCTGCTGCCAAGTGCAGGTAGAAGCAGTAGTCAAACATTCTTATGCTGCAGCATTCAAATCACAGTGGAGCTGCGTGCTGCCTCAGCAACAGTGGAAAAATAGTGTGAAATAAATATCCGCGGCCCTGGGAATGGGAGCACAATGTGATCACTGAGTCGGCATCACGGTGCTGGAGGGGCTGCAGCACCCTCGCTGGGAGGCGAACAAACCCCGCTCAGGCAAACGCTTGCCTGCGCGGAGTGGTTGTTTTGCCCAGAGCCATAAACCTGTGCCAGAGCACATCTGCCTGCAAAGCTGACGCTGATGGCGTGTCAGGCTGGTTTCAGTGATTTACAAAAACAAAACTAAAATCAAATCAAGGCTGGTTTAAGTTCTAAGGAGGTGCAGCAAAGGACTCAGCCTTCAGCCAGTGCTGCCGGCTCCCACAGCGACTGCACAACCCTGCGCCGGGAGCGCTGCCCCACAGGGAGGTCCAGGACAGCCCACAGCTATGGGAGACACCTGTTCCTCGTCTGTTTTAACAGCAACCACCAGCTTTTAGCATCTGTTCTCGTTCCATCCCCACTCCCCGGGGGTCAGTCGTGTCAGAGGCCCGAGGTCACAGCGCAGCTCTGCCCCA